ACATTTTTTAAATATCCATACGATTTTTCCTCGATATTTTGATGTAGAAATTGAAGGAGAGATGGAGAAATCAAATAACTTCAGGAAAAAATCAGATAAAAAATGACATAAAATCGGTTGAGAAGAAATCTTAAAATATATTATGATTTTCTTCGTGGATTTTATATATTCATTTCGTATACGTTTTTATGTATACCGGTTGCTGCAGACTGCAGTGGACTGGACGAGGCCGTCGAGCAGAACCCTAGCGATTCCGACAAGTTTGTCCTTTAGTAAGAGTCTAACACAATAGCCTTGAAACCTTGAAGACGATAGCCTTGTTCATGTTTCGCCGGAGTTCGTCGATCGGGATCCACCATGAAACAGAACTTGTCGTTCCACGTCGGAATTTTCCGGCAAACCTTATCAACTCTCGACCGGAGCTTCCTCGCCGGTTCGACGTACGACACGACGTAGCTTTGCGTCCTCGCCGGCGTCAGCATTTTGTGTTGTTAAGAAAGTTTTGGGGAAAATGTTAAAAATTATCCAGTCCATATAGACGTACCGGTACATTCATGTAAATTGTAATCCCTGATTTTATTTCTATCTATATATTAAAATAGTCTTTTGCGTAAGATTAAAAGTATATATAAAAAAAAGTTTAGGTAAAAAAATACAGACTCAACATTAAGAGAGCGACACGTCTAAATTTTTTACCATGAAAGTCAAAGCCCATTTCAAAGCCACATACGGACACCGGGAGAATCTTCTTTGAACATAACATGTAAATTTTTATATTAGCTCAATCGGAATTTGAATATTATAATAACATTAGATTTTGCCTATAACTAGAATCTCATGTTTGAGAGCTGTTGATATAAAGAAAATTGTTGTTCCATACTGTAAATATGGGAGCATATAGATTGGTCATGGGCCAAATAGGTCAATTTTTATATCACAAGGAAAAAAAATATAACCGGCATATTTTTGAAAATTATATTACAAACCAGTAAATTTGTACGCGACAGTATCTTGGAAAAATTCTTCCGACAGCGAGACAAAACACAGTCGTTTAAAGGGCAAGAGAGAAACAACTATTCGTTCAAAAAAAAAAAAAAGAGCAGTTGCATCGGAGGGAGGAGGGCATAATCGGGAAGCGCAATTGTGGAAGCCAGAAAAAGAAAAACAGAGAAAGCCAGAAAAAAGAATCATGAAATATTAGATCTCAATTAAGCAATTGTGGAAGAAAAGACGAATCAGAGATGAAGCAACGTTGGGCCTCTCACACTGAAATTCCCTAACGGCTCAACGGACATGTTCCAACCTAGAAACTCATCCCCGGCGAGAATGATCACCGGTAAGATCTAATGACTATGAGACGCAAAATCTGATGGTGTAACGATCGACGTCGATGCCTCCGTAGATCGCGACGTACATGCTGAGAGAAATGGTAAAAAAGGTCAAAGAATAAGAGAAGATTTTTATCACCCTTAGCGTTCTTGTTAAGAAGATAAGAAAACAATGATGAGTTTTATTTGTGAAAAACAAATCAAATCAAAATGGTTATTTATAGAGAGAATATGAAAGTTTCATACGTTGAACATGAAAATAATACCAAAATAAATACATTTGTTAAACATTGAATATTTGAATACATGAATAAAATCGATGATCATAAAAAATAAGACATATACATTCTCCCGAAAAATATATTTATATATAAAACAAAATTTAATAGGATTGATTTTAAATTTATAAAAAATCTAAAAATTTGATGGATGAATTACGTATTCTCCCATTATTTTATGAATATCTTTAATGTCTTATATTAATTATTTTGGAATAAGAATGAGTTTATTTTTTTGCAGTAATTATAAATATATTAGCGAATAAATTGGAAAAGAAAATTAATGAATGTATTTAAATAAGAGTGATGACTTGACGTATTCCTCTCATGAATGAAATTGATTACTTAATTTTTAACTTTTGATATTCTCTATAATAGGACACGTGTCATGCCCGTGAGAATAAACTCTACTTTTATATATATAGATAGATAATAGATAATAAAGCTTCCACCTCGAAAACGGGCCCTCATCCTCAACTGTCCAGAGAGATGGGATCTGGCCCGAGACAAAACGGGCCCTGATCCACAATACTCTGGTTGGAAAATAAAACACACAAATACATTTATAAAACTATAAAAATAGTAAGAAAGTGATACAAGATAGGGGGTTGGTTATAACTACATCACACAAGTTTCCTTTTTTGGAAATTAAAAAAAACGAATTATTTAACGCAGATGTGTCCTCTTTTAAGGTGATGAATAATGAAACTTATGGTGTGTAAATATGATATATATATATATATGAGTTGACAAGAAAATAACTAAATAAGTAGAACGATTAAGCCCATATTCACATCATAAGCTTTGATAAAAGCGATACTAAATAAAATCGAGATTAGAGGGAGAAAAATTAAGGTATTGAATGAGGAGAGACTTTCGGAGTTTTTGGATTTTAAAAATTGGAAAAAAAATTGACAATCAAATTTTTTAAAATTTAATTTTCCTAAAAACTCGGAAATCTATTTTATAAAAAAATCAACTAAAAACAAAAGCTACAACTTTTAGGTTTACAAACTTATAAAATTCAAAAGCCAAAAATCAAAAACTAAAAATCAAAAACCAAAAACCAATGTCATTCAATCTAAATTCGAAAAAAAAAAGGTGATTTTACTTTCTCCCGTTTTCATGTCATACGAAATTACAAAAAAAAAAATGATGAATAGCTTTTAACAAGCGGCGGCTTCGGAGAATCAAAGGGAAGAAAAGACACTGTTCTAAGTCTCCCCTTGCGTTCCATTTCCACTAACACTTGTATTGTCGAACTTGCTTTTGCGTTTCGTCTCTTTCTTAGAAATTACTATTATACCCCTCACTTTATTCGTCTTCATAGTCTAGTTTGGTTTACCAAGACAAACTTTAATGTTTGTTGATGACTAAACGACAGCGTTTTAATAAAAAACGACAACTTACATCACAACGTCCATTGTTTTTTTTTTTTATGTTCTCAACGGAACTATATCGGTATATACATCATATACATTATATATATAATGTGAACTTTTTTGGAATTAATTTGAAAAATTCTATATTAATATTTAAATTGGAAATAGACAATGTATTATAACCGAAGCTTTATAATTCGTCAATTCAGCTATGTAATAAAATTAATGGTTTCAATTGATATTTCGGATGAATGTACGAACGATCAACGTGCATATACTGTTATGTAATTTCAAATTTTTAAAAATACGAAACCACAAACACAAATAACGATCAACGTTCAATTGATATTTCGTATTTTTTTTTTATCGTTTCTATAAACTTCCAAAATTATTATTATTACGACATTCTAACATTTTTACTTGTTTACATGATCTTCTTTATCCTTTTCCGTAGCTTTAATGTTTCCCGGCGACTCAACGACAACGTCCATTGTTTCTTGTAGAGTTCTCGACGGAACTAATCGCGCCATTTGCTTCATCTCCTTGCCCTTTCCCCATAACACTACGTATAACCCGCATACGATCAATATCGCCCCCAATACGCTGCAACATATCATATCAAATACATATAATATTACAATTTCGTTTAATTTGTTGATATACATGAATATTATAAACGATGATATATATGTACGACGTCTACGGTCTATCCATTTATATATTTACCTTCCTAAATAAAGCTTCTCATCCAAGAACAAGGCCCCGGCTATGGCGACCAATACGAGCAAGAGAGGGTTGAAAACAGATACGAAGAGTGGACCCCTTAGCCTCACGCACCATGACATTAGTGTCACCATTAGTCCCGATCCCATTATTCCCTAATAATACATGGGCATTTGTACAAAAACATTAGCACTAATAATGAACTATCTATCACTAACTCGGTTAGTTAGCGTTTAATTATATATATATATATATGGGCAAAACATAGATAAAACTATATAATGTACCGAGAAAGCAACGGTCCATAATCTGATGTTCCATCCGAGTTTCCATTGTGACCAATCTCTCTCGACGCAAAGTGCAAAGAGAACCGCTTGAATCAAACCCATGATGCTCATCAACGCCGTGCTCGAGTAATAACACGGGTATTTCTCGCTCATCTTCGTCTACATTAATGTTCAATGAATCTATAGTTTATTAATCCATGTATGACTAATAGATTTCTGATATATATATATATATATATATATATGAACTTTGTGTATATATACTATTACGTAATTTTCTATTTTTAACGGACGAAATTAAAAATGTATATAAAGTTTGTTTCTACGCTTTTTTCTAGATTTTGCAAACAATTTTTTTGATTGATGTATAATTATTTTGTATATATATATATTTAAAGATAAAAAATTATTAAATAATTAGAGTATCTAAAAATAATACAAGACACACCCACCTGAATAATGAGCCATATAGCGTATGAGAAGCAGCTCCCGAGAGCCAAGGAGGCACCCAACACGCGGTGGCCAGACGAAGCTCGGACAGAGGACACGTGGCGATCACCGGAGGAGGAGAGGAGGTCGATGTCGGTCTTCATGAAATCGATGACGAAGCCTTTGTAAAACGTGAGTAGCATCGCCCCACCTATCCCCATTAATGTCCCCAACACTTTTGCTTTTCCTGCTGCCTTCCCGAGCTCCAACCTCTCCAGCCTGTGAATCCATACATACATGTTTTCTTTATATATATATATATATATCAACCCACGTTTATGTATATGTAAACATGCATCCATACATATATATTTATATAATGTATACATGTACGATGCTATTTATTTACTTATATTTGATATGATTGTATATATTAGTTTACCTGAAAGAGATGGCGAGGATGAAGGTAATGGCGGGAATAAGATTAGTCAAGGCCGAAACAAATGTGGCTGAAGTTAGTGCCAAGCCTTGCAAGTACAGATTTTGTGCTAATGATCCCCTACAAGAAAAAATATACATATATAAATACATATATCATTATAATTCGTTTATTACCTAATGTAAAAAAAATATAATCGGAAACGGGTAGATATTTACGTAAATATATATCTACAGCGACTAAATACGCTAATGGTGAAAAAAAGCATACAAAGTATATAGACGTTTAATTATGCTTCTAATGTGTATACAATTAATTATTAATTCTAACTATAAATAGTGATATCTCCAAAATAATATACCCAAATAAGCCGCAAAGGAAGGCTTGGAATAGAACTGTCCAAGTAATTTTTGGTCTTTTGCCCCTGGAAAAAAAAGAATACAAATAATGCTACATTAATTAATTCGATAAATTATTTTAATCATTAATTAATTTATAAGCATTAGAATCTCAAGCCATTTTTTTAATCTGGCCTCGAAAAACAAAGAACAAGACAATTTAAGTATTAATAAACATAACTTATTCGAGTCTATTGCCAGTTGTTTTATGCGTGGATATATATAATGCTATAAAGTATATGGTAAAAAAAAAATTCCTGCATTAAATTAATGTAACAAAAAAGGTATTTTAAATAAGGATAACAAGAATCCAAACAAAACTTGAACACTCCCTAGGAGGATCGTGGCTTTTTTAGCAAATTCAAATAATTTTTTTTTCTTTTTCAGGAAACTCCCACTTAAAATATGCCTTTTTATTAAGAAAGTGATTTTTCATTGGCAAAAAAATATTTTTAGCAAATTAAAGAATTAGAAAATTAAAAAAAGCAGTGTACACAAAAATGCAAAAAGGACGGTCAACCAAATACCGAAACAATTATATTAATTTCTATTTGGAAATATAGATATATGAAATACGTGTGATTCATGTTCATCTTGATAAATTAATTTCAATGTGCATGTTTCGATAGAGTTTGGAAGAGATTTAAAATGTAATCACAATCAACAGAAAGCCCTAGATTTTAGTTTCTGCCACGAAATTTGAGTACCGGTCGCCATCTACACGTGTCAGTATGCATGACGTGAAAATCGAACATAAAACCAACCACATATATACACATACATATACATATATACACATACGTATATATACGTGGATTTGCTCTAAGTTTTAACAGAATGAAATCAAATGGGCATACCGTTCGAAGATCAAAGCGACGGGGACCATGAAAGCGGCGGAGAAGATGAACCGATAAGCCACCACGACACGTAAGCTCATTCCGTCATTGGCTGCTAATTTGTAGAGCACGTTAACTCCGGCGAACGCCACCTGGACCACTACCATCAGCATCGCCGGCTTCATCCCATGCATGAAATTACACAACTGCCCTTTCGTCGTCGTCGTCGCCGCCATTATAAACGCTCGGCGAGATAAAAGGAACAAGAAGACAGAAGAAAAAAAAACAAATTTTTTTCTTCTCTTCTCGCCCTTCTGTCTCGATTGGATGTAGTTGCGAAACTAATGAATTATAATATGTGTATATATAAGAGATTGAGGGGGTGTATATATGTGTATGTGTGGTCAGTCTCGAGTAAATTTCCTTTTCCTTTAATTAGCTGTAAAATAAATGGAGATAATAATTAGGAAATTTGATTAAAAGATCTCTGATGCTACTCCTACTTGTAGGGTTTTTCGTTGGCAAATGAGGAGGGGGGGGGGGGGG